TATATATATATATATGTCTGTACATATATGCATGTGTGGTACCAGGCAGCTAGGTAACACAGTGGATGGAGCACTTGGAGTCAGGAAGACTTGAGTTCAAAATATATGTGTGTGTGTGTGTGTGTGTGTTGGTTGTATGTGTGTTTTTCTATATGTGTGTAGGTAGATAGACAGACAGATAGATAGATAGATAGATAGATAGATAGATAGATAGATAGATAGATAGATCAGTTGTTTCTTAGTTGTGTCTGACTCTTCATGACCCCAATTGGGATTTTCTTGGCAAAGATTCTAGAGTGGTTTGCCTTCTCCAGTTCATTTGACAGATGAGGAAACTGAGGCAAACAGGATTAAGTGACTTGCCCAGAGTCACAGCTGGTGAGGCCAGAATTGAACTCAGGAAGATGAGTCTTCCTGACTCCAGGCCCAGCACTGTATTTATCCACTGTGCCACCTAGTTGCTTCATTACTTGTGTGTATTCATGTGTATACGCGTATGTCTATATGTATATTATACATATTTATATATATGCATATGTATATACACATGCATATAAATAGACACATATATATGTGTGTGTATATAAAACAACTTCATAGACAGGTTAAGGATCTTTATACTAGAGGATAAACCTAGAAGAAGTGTATTGGGGGCGGGGAGGGAAGAAGGGGGAAGGGCAAAGGGACATAGTAGGATTAGAGATCAGAGAGCATAGATGACTGATTCAACATTTAACAGATACTCAGTAAGCATCTGACATGTAGAATGGCAAGAGGCAGTGCTGCTGGCCTTGCAGTTCTTGGAGTCAGGAAGACCAGCCTTCAAGTCACTCCATTAATGTACTGGCTGGGATGCATCCTTAATCATTCGGTGTCCTCAGCATCTCTAATACTCATAAGTTGCAGAACATTTGCTGGTCTGCATCGGGAGAGAAAGTTCCCTACATCAATAAAGTCACAAGTTCAAATCCTCCTTCACCACCACCAACAAAAGGACATCAGACTTGTCACTGAAATTTCAGTCCTTGTTGCAGCAGGCACTCAGTGACGCTTGAGGTAAGTAAGATGAATTACTGATTACTAAGAAAGGGCAGGAGAACTCTGAGCCAGGAATGGCCAAGCTGATTAGCAGGTTTTTGGTATAAAAATGTCCTGATGTTGTAGAATTTGACGGCCAAGTATATACTTCTGATCATTTAATTCAGATTAAATGGCATGATGTTTTAGATGCTGAAGCCAAAGCATGCAGTGCTGATGGTGGCACTAGAGCAACGCAGAGTGATCCTTCAACCCCTAAATGCCAGGCCTTTACCTCAGAAGAGACGCAACCAGAAAGCTCCATAGCAGAAGCAGTAGCAGCCGCAGATCAGACTTCACTTGACAAGGAGCTGCACTCAGAGGAACAGAAAGAAGATGCAGGTATTTGGATGTACAACCTTACCGGGTCTTCTTCCAAGGCTGCCAGGGGATTGGAACCCAGCCCTCCATGCCCCAAAGCTGGGATTTACTACCAGTACTGTTAAGGACTGCTTATTGAACTCTAGAGGAGAAGGGAGAAAGGTGGTGGGGTGGGCCTGCTGTGCTTACAGAGACCATTATATCATGTACCCCAGCACCAATGAGCATAGGACTAGCCCTCAGCAAAATTTTCTTTGATTGGTCTATAGTAATCTTTTGTTTTCCTTTCATCTATTCTATGTCTCATTACCACAGGAGCTTTCTCTGAAAGATTAACTAGTGACAAGAGGCATTTGCATTCTCACAGGGAGCTACTGAAGACCCCAAAGAATTAACTGACAATTATAGACACTGCCTTGTGAGGATAAGGGAACTATTTTAGGAGTATGTGGGTATATTCTTGGTGGCCCCTGAATCACCTAGCCCTCTAGCTGTTTCATTTCCTTATAAAACCAACACCAAAAAGATCATTTCTTTGCTTAAGGAGAAAAATTAACTACTGTCACCCCACATGACAGTGACTACTTCTACTAGTACTACTATTGCTATTACTAGTACTTATACTAATGCTAATACTACTACTAATAATAATAATAGTGGAAATTTACAAAATTCTTTAACGTTGGGAAAACTCTTTATATGCATTATCTCATTTGAGTTTCACAACAATCCAGTGAAGTAGGTGTTACTGGTGTTATTATACCCATTTAAGGCAGTTAGGTGGTGCAGTAGGTAAGAGTGGTGGTCTTTGAATCAGGAAGACCTGAGTTCAGTCTCATTTCATACACTTCGTAGCTATGTGACCTTGGGCAAATTATTTAACCTCTCTCAGCTGCAGTTTCTCTACTTGTAAAAGGAGAGTAATAATAGCAATTATCTCACATGGTTGTGGAGAGGGTCATTTGAAATAACATGTGTAAAGCATTTTGCAAACCTTAAAGTGCTAGACAAATGGTAGCTATTATTATTACTTTACTGGTGAGGAAACTGATAGATTAGTAAAGCAATTTGCTCATAGTTACACAGCTAGTAAGTGTCAGAGGCTAAACCTAGGTCTTCCTGACTCCATGCTTATCTACCACCCTATCATCTGGGAGATCTAGTAGTATTAGGCAGGACAAATAATGCCTAAATACTATGTAGTCAATCCTTTGAACAAGTGTTCCATGTAGGCTGTTGAGAAGCCTAAACATGGGTGTAAGATGAAGTTTATGGGCATTAATAATGTAGGTCCCCTAGAATATATAGACAGATAGATAGATAGATAGATAGATAGATAGATAGATAGATAGATAGATAGATAGATAGATAGATAGAT